GCTGAAAACCGATAAAAACCCTGAAAACTATACATTTCACACCTGAGCCTCAACTCTCGCGGCCCGGTACCAAACGACTCACGGACCGGTACCGGTCTGAGGCCCGGGGGTTGGGGACCGCTGCCCTACCCTACCTTTCAGTCAATGGACACAGCGAGGGTCTGTAGAATGTCAACATCCTTTTGTCTCAAGGCACCAAAATAGGAAAATATAAGAGACCCCAGCAAAGGTCCTGAGGTTATCTACAGAGTTAGATCACCACGCCTCATAAAGGCTCTCTACTGCGTATGACCTCTTGAAATTGTACCATATGAAGGGAGACCAAGTAAAAACAAAAGCATTTACTGAAGCAGTACTCACAAGATTGGTCATGTTGTGGTGCAAGTGGAGGCGGACGTAACAGTACTCTGTAACAGCATCTTGGACCGAGGTCAAAAGCTCTTTCACTTTTCCTCCTTTGCTACAAAAGAATGATTATAAAGAAACACAGAGTATCTAATTAAATTAATTAACTGCAGAATAACAGTAACAGTGGGTCAAAATGTTCCTTTTTAAATGCGTAACAAGGTTGCTGGTATGATTAATATTTCTATGCTCTTGTTTTGCTCTCTGCTTCTCTCCTCCAGGACTCTTCATGGTAATGACCTTTCAACTATTCCAGAGGGAGCTTTCAACCACCTCAGCTCTCTGTCCCACCTGTAAGTACAGCTTTGGTCTGTACTGCACTTCTACATATGTGTATCCACAGATTAATGTGTGTTGGTTTATGCTTTTGTTTAGGGCTCTTGGTGCCAACCCATTGTACTGTAACTGTGATCTGCGCTGGCTCTCTCAGTGGGTCAAGGCTGGCTTTAAAGAGCCTGGTAAGAAATCACAGTCAACATGCTTGTATTTGTTCAAACAAAAACGTGTGTTCACCAACATCTAATGCTGCATATAAGAAAAATACTGAATATCTTTTGACTTAAAATTGGTATTTAAGGCATTGCTCGCTGTACTGGACCTCCTGACATGGCTGACAGGCTGCTGCTCACCACACCATTAAACAGATTTCAGTGCAAAGGTAAGTACACATATTTTCATAGTACTAAGTGCAATATATTGTTTTACCACTCATGTAATCCCTGGATTTAGACTAGATTGGGCTGTTATTATATTTACAGACTCAAGTGTGTTTATTTCATTGTAGCTTTTGTT